TTTTTTTTCCTATTTTTCTGCCGTTGCACCACATGAAAGCACCACGAAAAAAAAAAATCTCTTGTATACACACACCGTCAGTCAACATCCCAGCCTTGTTACGTGCCAAAGAAGAAATTAATCAAAAAATCAATCCACTAAGCCCGGAGTGCACACGCGCGCTGAAAGAGATATTTGAGCAGTTCCTTGTCCCGAATAAATCACGCGTTGGTTCTCAATGAGCGGCCAATTTTTTCACCAATTAAAGCTATGTATTGACTAGGTTCATCCACGGCCGCTTCTAATAACTTGGGCGTGCACTCCTCTTTCTTTTATCTTGCCACCAGTGAGACTGGATTCCTATTACATTGGCTGAGATTTATGTCATCCATTCATTCATTTTTTTTTTTTTTTTTTTTTCCCTTTTTTTTTTTTCTGAAAAAAAAACTTTAATTTTTTCCAAGGGTGTGAAAACCGATTTTTTTTTTTTTTTTTTTTTTTTTTTTTTTTTTCTACACTCTCACTGCTGGCGTGAAAATATTTCTTCATACATATATTTATTAGAGCAGTATTATTAGTTTTTCTTAGATTATTCAATTTTTTTTTTATTTTTACAAATATTTAAAATCTGCAAGAGTTGATCTTCTAAACTTTTTTTTTTTACAATTTTTCAAAAAACTTGACTTGTAAAAATTTTAAATATAAAAGTTTTTATAGTATGTTCTTACGGTACGTGAATAATGTATTTAAAAATTTTCATGTAGAACTACGGAGATCCATTTTAAAAATTAAATGTGATTTAGCAAGGAAAAAAAGAGAGCGACAAATTTTATCATTGACAAATGAAAACAAGCAATCGAGCTTTCTCTTTTATCTCGTTATTTAATTCTCTATCAAATTTCATAAAATTCTTTTTCACACTTGTTTAATCCTACATATAGTAATCTCGTATTTCTCTTTTTTCGTAGTGTTTTTTTTTTTACTTGGTTTTTTATTTTATTTTATTTNTAGTCCTTATATATATAATATATATATATATTTTTTTTTCAATAAGTATAGTTACTAATGGCGAGTATCGAAATAAATATCTAAATTCCATGTTTTCCGGCTTTCCTTGCTGGACCTAGCCATCGCCGCCTCCGAATCGCCGGCTCGTGGCGTCGTGTCTCGCGTACCGAATGACGATGACGACGGCGAAGATTATAATGATAATGGCCAGTATGTAAAGGCAGTGCTCTTTTGGCATCTTTCAAATAACGAGCAGCCCGATGGAGTTTGGCAAAAAAGTGTCAGAGGTGGGGCGAGGCGATCCGCCGTGCGGGCTAACAAAACTTGTCGAGCCACCAGATGTTGCAGGCCGAGCTGACTCGTCTTCGTCGGCGCTTGTTCCCGGCCGCGTCCAGGGGCTTCTTAACGAAGCGCACGTTGTAGGGATCCTCGGCGAGCTCCGGGTAGAGCTGCGCGTCGTGAACGTACTCGGCCTCGTAGCCCGTGGCCACGCCAGCCTTGAGTATTTCCTCCTGCTCGGCGACCGTCCACTCGAGACTCGCGAGCGTATTGGCGCGCAAAGCCTCGACCTCCCGGTGCCAGGCCTTGTGCACGGCATTGAGCTTGGCGTGGTGCAGCAAGCGCTGGCGTTCCTTCTCGGCAGTCGTACCGTAGCGCAAATTTATCACGTAACTGGGCCCGTGGATCTTAACGTCGCTGAGACCCGCCGAGCCCGAGGCTTCGTGGAAGGTCGTGTTTACCTGGCCACCCAGCCGCTTGAGCTGGCCCTGGTCGTCAGGGGCGCGCCAGGTCTCCTCCTTCACGAAGTAGAACGCGTCCTGCTGCGAGGAGTGCACCACAAAGGTGAACGGCAGGAAGTACGACTCGTTGAACACGCTCGTGAAGACGTCCCGGTAGATCGGGTTGGCCGAGGGCACGCTCGAGACGACGGCCTGGCCGCTCTTGGTGCGCGACACGAGAATACCCCTGCCGAAGGGCGGATCCGAGCTGGCGCCCAGCCGCGTCGGGATAAGCTCGCTCATGTCCTTCTTGAGGGCGGAGCGCGGCGGCGCGGACAGTCCAACGGCGTCTGCCGAGTGCCGCTGCTGAATGTAAGCGAGGAAGCCCGACTGCACCCCGAGATTCGTCACGTGCTTTTTCTTCTTCTCGCTCTCGCCAAAGATCGAGCCGCTCGATTCGAGGGCCGGCGGTACCAGGCTGCTCGGAAGGCTCTCGGGGAATAGCTGAGGCGCGAGGCTCTTCAGGTCGTAGCCGAGGTTCGACAGCCAGCTGGTGTAGTCTGTCGACAGTAGGACAAAATTGCATTGAGAATAGGAAATGGATTCATGAATTATAAAAATAAAAAAAATAAAAAACTCACCTGTAGGAAGATTACTTTCCGAGGAACGTTGAACGTCGATAGGGTTGTTGCCGTTGAAGCGGTAGAGATGCAAGTGCGTCGGAGTTTGCAGTCTGTCGAGGACGTTCTCCCAAAGCGGGGACATCCATTGGCCGATGAGCGGATCGTAGACCTTGCCGTTCGGCATGTGCACCAGCGTGGTTATCTGTTGTCGAAAAAATGTTGTTCAAGTTTCATCGAAATCCAATAAAAGTGTAAATTAGAAAAAGCTGTACTCACTTGATCGAGCAAACCACCGCAGAAATCGACGGGTAGATAGAGGTACGGGTTGGAATCGTAGACAATGTGCCCGTATGGCGACCTCATGATCTCCCTGATGCCCTCGCCGTACTGATTGAATATCATGATCGGTGTACCGCACTGGTCTGTCGCTATGTAATACTTGTTGCGATAGACTTGGGCGAATATCAGATGGCCCCTGTCGTCGTACAGCAGAGACATTAGTTTGCCGTCCCGAGGACTGTAGATCTGACTGACTTCGTGGGGCCTCTTTTGGTTGTTGTAGAAGAACTGGGTCACGTTGCCGTAATTGTCCTTCCGAGCGGCGAGTCTATCGAGGTGATCGTAGTAGTACCTCACATCAAACCTGCCCCGCTTAGTGGCCCGGACGAGCAGGCCCTTGGCGTTGTAGCTGAACCTCTCCTCGCGGGCATTTTGTATCACGAGACCGCGGCTGTCGTACTTGTAGAGGCCCTCGCCGAATTTCACGATGCGGTCCATCGAGTTGTACTCCATCGGTATGGTGTTGCCCCGGTAGGTGAGGGCCAGCATGTTGCCGTTGACGTCGTAGCGGAAGCCCCAGGGCTCTTGGGCCTCGACACCGACCAACTGGCCGTCGCTGTCCCACGTGTAGTTCTTAACGTTGGTGTAGGTGTTGACTCCCACGTTGCGGGTGTAGGTGCGCGTCTGGTTGATCCTGGCGCGCGAGTCGTGACTGAACTCCATCCTGAAGACCTCGTGCTCGTAGATGGTCACGGTGATCTGAGTAACGAGGAAGCGGCCGTCGACGGTGCGCGAGAACGTAGCTGTACCGTCGTACAGCGCTGTCGTGTTCGCTTGAGGCCGCGACACCTTAAACTGGCCAATCAGCTCTAGTGCCCCCGTCCGCGGACTGTAGGCCATAGGGTGAGCGGGCAGCGCGAGGCCCCCTATCCTGCCCTGAACGCCCACAAGTCGGAAGTTGGAGTCGTAGTCGAAGGTGAATTTGGCGTTGCTCAGGCCCGTTTTTGCCCCAAAGTCGATGCGCTCCTCGACGAGGAGGAAGAGATCGCCACTGTCATCCACGCCCCCACCACCGGTAACACCAGCATTAGCAATACCAGCGACGGCAGCACCAGCACCCGCGCTGTACTGGTAGTCCCACTTGTAGTCGAGGTCACGCTCCGAGTGCACGACCTCCGAGGGTAGGCCCGAGTCGGCGTAGCGCATCTCGCTCTTGCCGTCGCCGTGAACGACTTCGGCGAGGCCACCCGAGCCGTGGTAGCGATAAACGACGCGTGCCCCGTCTCCCGGGAACACGGTTTGCAACAATCGGCCGTCGTGGCTGTAGTGCTGGAGGTAAGAGCGCTGGCTACCCGGTGGCGTGTAGGTAAGCCGGGTAAAACCGAGCGAGGCCTGGTAAGAGAATGAGTGCCTCGTGCCCGAGGGCAAGACGATGTGGCGCAAGCCTCCATCCTCGTCGTACTGCAACCCAAAGCTTCGGCCACTCGGGAGAGTTATGTTGGCCAGACTGCCGCTCAGCTCGTCGTACCCATAGAGCCTACTGCCACTATCGTCCCTACCGTCGTCGCTGCTGACCTTGGCGAGCTGGCCGTGGCGGTCGTAGCCGTACGACTCGCTCGAGGGTCCCCAGCGCCAACCCTGGACCCGGTTGTAACGATCGTAGGTGACGTTGAGCGCCTCGCCAAAGTCCTCGCGCGGCTGCCAGAGCAGGGGTAGTCCGGCCGGGTCGTAGCTGACGGTGAGCAGGGCAGCGCGGCCCCTGTCATAGAAGGTCTCTCTACCGTAGGCTTGGTCGAACTCGACGCTCACGGCCCGCGAACCGTTCACCCAGATCTCACGGCTGAGCGTCTGCTGGAGCCGGCTGGGATCGCCCACGAGGCCGTAGCTGGTCGTCATGACGTTGCTCAGCTCGCCGAGCGACATGGCCCTGTAACTCCACATCGGCAGCAACTCCGCCTCGACGGGCAGCGCGGCCTTCAGCAGCGGGTGCTTCGTTGTCGCAGCGCTCACGATTTGTCCACCTCCCGGGAGTTCGAGCTCGAGGGTGCCGTTCGGGAAAGCCGTGGCGCGTCTCACCGTAGAACCTGTTGCACGACAACCAAGGGTTATCAACAATATTGTCACGATATGGCAAGCGAGAGAGTGAAAATTGATTGTTAAGATAAGGGAGGAGAAGAGCAGCAGACATTGCCGCGTTGTAAAATCAGATGCACGTACCGTCGGTAATGGTGAGCACCTTGGAGCGTTCGTTTTTCATCCTGAACTCCATAAATCGTTGTTTATCTCCCCATTTGAGAGCCTGAAGGGGAGCGGCCACTTTAACGGCGAGGCCCTCGTCGTTCGTGAGATCGGATGTCAGCTTGATTTTTTCCCCGGTCGGCAGAATGACATCTGTTACCCGACCCAGATCGTCGTAGTTGTACACGTAAGTTTCGCGGCCCTGGAAAATGCCGCGATGATAAATTTCAGTTGGCTGTGCAACACGTATATATGTGTACATAAAGTATTACGCCATTCGCTTTATTCGATCGTAAATCCCTGTATGAACGTCCCATATAAACGAGCCGTATGCATAACTCGCGTCACAAACTTTGCGGCCCGATAAAAATGCATGAATAATTTATTCAGCGGGCCATCGCCATTGTCGCGACCGAGCAATCCATTTTTTACGTGTTACATTAAATATTAAAAGTAAATCAAATTACGTGCTTGTGACAAAACCCGACCAGTGCGAATAATAGTGTCATCGGATGGACTCACCCCTGATCTGCTTGTAAGCAGGCCTGTGTCGCTGTCGTATCCGAGGGTGATTTCTGCCCTACCCTTCTCCGACAGCCGCTCCAAGAAGCCGACGCCCGATATCTTCAGCTCGGACTTTTGATCCTGGGTGTTCTCGATCGAGCTCACTGCGTTGCTGTAATCGCGCAGGAACTGTATCTTGTTTCCCGCGCTATCCGTGACCGTCGACAGCTTCCCGAAACTCGTATTCTTGCTGTAGAGGAACGAGTAGCGCGTCTTGCCCGACGTCAGGTCCTTTGTCGCCACGTGCTGCCCGTACCTGTGTATTCATGGTATTTTTTTTTTTTTTTTTTTTCTATCTCCTCCGTTTTAGTTATTAACAGAATAATTAAAAAATCGTAGTATTTTTTTTTTTTTTTTTTTATTTCCAACCCGAGGAGATACGGTTGCGTCGGCTCATTCGTTATTAAACGCTCGTACGGCACCGTCAGGATTGACGTGCGTCAACTATTTTCAGCCAACTGCTTATTTATTTACAAAAGTGTGGATATCGAGTTACGTGCACTTCCAATCCTGTATATATGCATACACGTATTGGTAACGCGATGGGAAACACGAATTCGCAATCGATATGAATATTTCAGCTGATCCTCGCGCCGTGCGAGCCAAAAGCGCGGACAATCGATCGTTGCTATGTATAGCACCAACGAACAAACAAACAAAAAATTGTAACATAAAGAAAACAAAAAAATGGGAAACGTGGTCAACCAACCTGTTGAAGACGTAGACCTCGTTCGAGGGCGGGAAGGGAATGTTGAACTCGCCGCTGTTGTCGTACCCGGGCAAGTACGGCTGGAGCGCGAGCACGTGCAGGCTGCCCTGGTCGGCCACGTGGAGGACGCCATCGGGGGAGACCGTGAGCGCCGAGATCGACGTGAACCTGGCATTCGAGGCCAGCAAGATCTCGGCGTTGCTCGACTCCTCCGTACAGGCGCAGCCTTGAACGGTAGCCACCACCTCCTCCTGCTGCTGCTCGGACAAATCCTCGTCGGCCATCCTGGTGGCGTTGGCTCCGCTGGCGCCGCCACTACACTGGCACTGCTCGCGTGCCGCTGTTCCGGCGGTATCGCGCTGCTGGCCCGCAAAGTGGGACATCTTGCCGGCCGAGTCGACCACGCGGATGCTGTTGACGCGGTGCGAGTCACGTGCTGCTATGTAAAGCTCGCCAGCCGGCGAGAAAGCGACCGCGAGCACCGAGCCCAGGACTTCGTTCGACTTTTTGCGCGCCGCGGCGGACTGCGAGCTGTTGATCAGCTTCTGGAGCTCGGCGCTGTTGGCCCCGCTGGTGCAGTGGAGCGGCGTGCCCGCGACTACCCGCACCTTGAGGTCCCGGGTGAGCTTGAGGACGAGCCGGTCGTCGATAAAGTGGAGCGAGCCGTCGATAGGCGACAAGCTCAGGCCAGTTGGCCACTGCAGCTGGGCCTGCTGGGCTGGGATCGCGCCAACGCAGGGCGCCGGCGACCAGTGATTGTGATGGCCATGATGCCCCACCAGGGTGTGGATGACCCCGTCAGGGTCCACGGCTCGGATGTTGGTTCCATCCGCGATGAACATGGTCTTGTCGGCCGCGATCACGATACCTGCGATCAAACCGTCCGTGCCAATCAACCCAAAACACTCATTTGCTCGGAATCATATTATAATGGAGGGAGCTTTGCTACCTCGTTGCTGTTACACTACATATAGGTATAGACAATATGACTGCAACAACAGTACAACCTATACATGTACATGTATACGTAAAGTTGCGCGCTGCACGAGGGAGTTAATCGATGGCACCCAGCCCTCATTTGCTCCCGAGTAATTTGGAATCCAATCATTTTAATTATTACAGATGCGCTCGGGGATGACCCATAGTGCATGCCAATTTGGAAACGCGCGCGCGCGCGGGATTCTCCCCTTTCCCTTTATATATACATATACACGTATTATACGCTCGGGGCTCGTGAATTTGTAAATTACTCGCGCCTGACAGACGTTTGTAATTTTAGGGAGCTGGACGGTACGGGCATTACCATTTTGCGAAACAAATAGCCGATGGTGCAGGTATTATCGCTGCCCGTGTATCGGATACATGGGAATATAATGAAGCACTCGGGTGAAAATCGACCGAGCCTCGACGAATAATTTCCGGGGCTTCTTGAAAAGCAAAAGACAGCGGTGGCATGTTTATACATTATACACACACGTATGCAAATATACGGGGCAAAAGGGGAGGGTAGGGTGGGAGTAGGTTATGAAATAACAGAGACGGGGCGGGCTTCGTTCAAAGGCGCTCGAGAATAACACGCCGTCGAATGTTTGCCGTGGGCAAAGAAGGGGGTAGGCGTTTGTTTTACTTACCTTTGGGATGAGCGAGTTTGGCTTTATTAGCCGGGCCCTCGTCCCCGCAGTGGCCCTCGTCTCCGGGTATGCAGCGCTCGCCGTTCCCGACGACCGGCTCGATGTTCAAGCGCGGGTCTTTGACGTCGGTGAGCGAGAGGGTCCGGAGAATCTGATGTTTCTCCGGATCGCTGATGTAGAGGTGCCCATCGGCCGGCGACACGCACAAGTAGTACTGATAGGCGACTTGCGTGGCGCTGCGAACGAACCACCAAACGAGTTATTTTTATTTTGCCCCCCTCCCTACGGAGAAACAATAAAAAAAAAAAAGGCCTACCTGAGCACGAGGACGGTGTAGACGTTGCCCTCGGGTGTGATGCGGCGCACGAGATCAAAGTCGCCGACGTAGATGCTGCCGTCGGGCCCACTGGCCAGCGCCACCGGAGTGAGGAGGCGCGCCTCCTTCGCCAGGCCCTCGAACAAGTCCCGGCCGTCGAGGTCCCTGCGCTTCCCGGTCCCCATGACGACGTTCACCTTGCGCGGGTACTGCTTGAAGTGGAGGGTCGAGCCGTCGCCCTTTTGCAATATACCCTCGTGGAAGTTGTAGTGGTGGTGTATGTCCAGGCCCCAGCCACCGATGTCCGATATGGTATCCTGATGGCTGTCGGCGTACAAGCAAATTACGTTGTGCGTTGTTACATTGATCGCATGGTGCGTATGTATATACTATAAATGGTCGTTGATTACCCCTCGAGGCTGGCAGTCTGGGTCTCCCAGATGACGGACGGGCAGCTGGAGTACTGGTAGCCGACCGAGACCCGGGCCTGGGCGACCCCGTAGACCTTCTGCTTGTACACGTTGCGCTTGTTCCAGGCGAAGGTGTGCACCAAGTTGGGATCGGCCTCGTAGGTCTTGGTGTGCACCGAGCCCTCGATCTCCACGTGGACGTGCACGTGGGTCAACGATTGGGGTATCACCGGGCCGGTCAGGCGCATCCGCACGGTCGAGAGGTATCCCGCCGCCTGGCTGCTCCGGTACATCAAGTGGAGGTTCGAGCCCGGGATGGCTATGCTCTCCTGCACTATCTGCGCTCGTGCGACAACAACCCCGAGATGTTAGTAATAATCACGGATCGGGCAGCCTTTCGAAAGAACTCCCGAATTCCCGAGATTTTTCATTTTACATCGACTGTAACGGCGAAGAAGACGCCCGCGAATTGCTCGAATGTCTCGATAAATCACTCGGCTAATCGCGTAGCGGTTTGTACGAGGCACGAAATTCCTCCGCGGCCAACGAGTCATCCCGGTCTCCCAAAATCCATGTAATTCCACGCGGCCGCGAGACTTGGAAATCCAGTCGTTACCTTACCGAGCTTTGGTTCGTTCGTTCGTTCGTTCGGGGGTGGAGATAAAAACGAGGTGGCGGAAGGCTCTACACACACGCTGAACGTGTGTACAGGATATGGGGTGGTGGCGGTGGGGCATTATTATGCCAGAGTAGCTTATCAGGGCTCGGGAGTTTGGAGCTCGCCGCTACTTGTACCGGTACATAAATATATATATATACATGTTGCGGTGGATGGGGGTACAAACAGGACGCGGGGACCGGCTGCAGCCATTAATCTCGGCGCAAAAGTGTTATTGTTGTTGGTGGTGGTGCTGGTGGTGGTGGAGGAAAAAGAAAAAAAGAAAAAAAAAAAAAAAAGAAAGAAGCAACGAACCTGAGTTTCGGCAAACACGAGGCTCTTGCCTGGCAGGCCTCCAACCTTTTCTGGCATCCATGTGCCGACGATTATCGGGAAAAGAGTCTCGTGGTCGTGCTCCATGCACGGCCCGTGCTCGTCGAACAAGCTCCCCGAGAAGCCTGGAAAACCTGCGGGCGGACATCGATTGTACAGTCACACAAAGTATATAACACTACACTTATTTGCACATGCATATTTTTTACAGGTGCAGCTCTTGTCGTCGAATATATATATATATATATAATATGTATAGGGTTGTATTTTTTAAAACTGCGAGAAAACTGCATTCTTTTTCAATCGACCCGTGCGAGAGGGGGGTGATGATATTTCCAGTGAAAAGCGACGGGGCGTTGGTATATACTTTCATGGCAAATGTTTACTTTTAATTATTGCGCGGTGATATACTATACAGACCTTTTCTTCGAAGTGCACGGGGTACCGGCGATGCCGGTTATATATATTCTTGAAAATTGATCAAGCCCCTTCGGTTATAGCTGTACCCTGTAATTATACATATATCTCCGACAAGAGCCACATCGGAGTTATCGCTTTTCAAGTTAACGGGGAATGAAATTTTCCTCGGAAAAAGCAATGGCGAGAAAGTCGGGGGGGGGGGGGAGATGCGCAAAAATACCAAGGGGTACTGTTGGGTATTTACCAATGGCCGGGCTGGGCGGTTGATTAATCGGCCTGAAAGAGTTTTCCTCGTCGGCGATAGTCAGCACGACCGGCGGCAGCACAACAATCTGATTCCAGGGGACGAAAACTGTTCTTGTCATCGGCTTGAAGGGGCTCCTCTGGAATTGCAGCGTCACCGCACCTCCGCCATTCGCGAGGATGTCGAACCTATTACCAGTTCAATTAACCCCTCAAAGACACGTTCGTTCGCTCATTTGTTTGTCCTCCTCCTCCTCCTCCACCGATACTCCCCCTCTTCTCTCTCTTTTTTTCCCTCCGTTCCGCTCTTTGTTTCAAAATAGCCCGTTTAATAAAGTCACCTTCGGAGGTATAAATTACTTTTCCCGCGACGGCCCTCGATAATGAAATCTTTCCCGATTAATTTTCGTCCGTATATATAATGTAAAACCCGAGGCTGCTCGCTAAAAAGGAAAAAAAGAAATCGTATCTCGGATTTCAAATTAATTTTCCCGTTCCCCCCCTTTTTTTTTCTTTAAATTTGATTCCCAAGCGGGGGTACAATAATAACTCGAGAGAGGGAGAAAAATGAAAAATCGAGCAGCCTCATCTGCTACACGTACAGCTTCCGATCGGGCGGAACTTGATCTCACCCAAAGAGAGAGAGAGGGGGGGGTATATGATAAATGTGAGGGAGTAAAGAGAGTATAGGTATGATTAAAAGTGCCACTCACCATCCCCCGGCTCTGGTCAGGGTGAACCCGAACTTCTGGTCTTTGTCGATGGAGACCCTGACGTCTATTATACCGAGTCCCTGCTCGGTCACCACTTGGCCTCGCATCACCGCAACGCGTCTGTCACAAATTTCAAACATGACTCTCTCTCTCTCTCTCTCTCTCGCTGCTGTTAAAACACACACATCTCTCGCACAGGGCCAGCCAACCGAGCGACGCGCGTCCACCCCCCTCTTGCCCCAAAGCTCCATTAAATTACCACGTATAACATATATGTATATGTAAGTAATAAATAAAAATACACAAAGGTGCTATAGAGAGGAGGAGCTCGAAGAGCGAGGGGGTGCGGGTGAGCTGGCCGTGGTTAGCTTGCCCCTTTCATTTTCGGGAAAAGCTCGATCTCCCGGCCCGCGCGGTATACAATGTACGATGTGTATATAGGTGCAGTGCAGCGGAGCGCGCCCGATCGATTCGCCGGGGCACGGCCAGTCAGCCGAGGTGGCGCGTTGGCGGGGACGACGACGACATTGCGGCCGGTGGTGCGGGCATCGGAGAAGCTCCAGTTACGGAAATGTAAAACGCCAAACGAAGTTCGGGGCTGCTGCTGCTTCTGCTCGTGGTCGGTGTTGGTGCCGTTTGTGCCGTGCACTGCCGGCGAGTCGATCGGGGCCGCGCCGGTGGCGCGTGTAACTCTATACACCGGGAGGGCGCGCTTTTTCCCAATTAATTACAATAACGGCACTTATCGTGTACAATATGTATTTTCATGTATATTATATTATACGTAATAATCATAAGAACGAAAGTACTACATTGTTACTTCGAGGCGAAATTTAATGAGGTAGAACTCATGCATACTCATAACCATATCATTATAGAGGTGTACATTTTTGGTGTGCGTGTGTCCGTCCAATTTGTCAGTTTGTCTGTCTGTCTGTTTGTTTGTCCGATGTCCACGTGTTTTGTCATAATCACTGTGTGTGTATATGTGTATGTGTGTTTGTCGGTCATTTCACGTTGTCCGTCCGTACGAGTTGATTGTAGGTGCTCGTGTTCGTGTGAATATATTATGTGTTGTGTGGGTATAATGAGAGAGTGAATCGAATGCAAATGTTTATTATCCAAGCCTGGCACTCGTCTCGAGCGATTTGCCGGAAAACTTGATGCGACAGAAGGTCCATAAGCTTTTTTTTTTTTTTTTCTACTTTAGTATATGTTTATTGTTCATCCCATCGTTTGAACTTGGCATGTGTGTCTTTTTTTTTTTTTTTTTTTTTTTTTTTTTTTTTTTTTTTTTTTTTTTTTTTTTTTTTT